CCTCCTCCTCCTCCTCCCCCTCCTCCTCCTCCTCCTCCGCCTCCTCCTCCTCCCCCTCCGCCTCCTCCTCCTCCTCCTCATCCTCCTCCTCCTCCTCCCCGCCGTCCCCGCGCGCCCGAGGAGCCCGCGGCCGCGCCCGCGGCCTCGGAAGGCGGGGCCCGCGCCGCCACACGCCTCGGAGCCCACAGCGACGTCTCCGCTTCGAGCCGCCTCGACTTCCGCGGACTCCGATTCCGATTCGGCTCGACTTCAGACTCCGATCGGTCAGAGGCGGACATGGCACCCATACCTCACCAGGCCTCACCACCCACCAAATCACCCCAACCCAACCCGAAGGCTTCAAGTTGCCCTCCATTTCCACGGGGGGCGGTCCAGGAACATTGAGAAACACACACACACACACATGGAACCCGTACCCCCCCCCCATCCCGAAATTCGGGTCTTCGGGTCGGGTTGGGGTGGTCTGGTAGGTAGTCAATACCGCGATCCTTTCCTCGTTCTCCCATTTTGGGGCCTCCTGGGAGGCCCTCCCCTCGTCGCCACCGCTGTGATCGCCCCGAAAGTCTGGTCAGGACGCACCCGGGGAGGGGTCCTGGGAGTAGCGGTATCGGTATCGGTACCTTTTCTGGGTAGTCGAAGGCCAGACTGTCAGATTGGATTGGGCCCCAAGGGCCAATCTGGCCTGGCCAAACTGGAGGATTTGGGTTATTCGCAAGACTGGATTCGCGTTGGCTCCCTCGCCAGATTGCCCCCGCTTGCCAGATTGGGCCTGCCAGATTGGCGCCAGATTGGCTTCGACTACCCAGGGAGGGGTCCTGGGAGTAGCGGTATCGGTACCTGTTGGTCTCCCCAATTCGGATTCCGCTCTCTTGGCTGGTGGCCTTTACCAGCCTGCCGGTCTCCGCCCAGTCGACTCCTGTCCTTGCACGCGGCGTCTGTCGAGTGGTGGAGTGCCGAGGCTTCAAACAAAAACAAACTTCTCCCGTTTCGGCTGCCGATCTCCGCCGGTCCGTTACCTTGGTGGAGGCTTTTGGTTCTTTATAAACTACTGGATGTGTTTTTGTTTGTTTTGGGCGGAAGGCGGAGGAGGAGGGGAGGAGGAGGAGGAGGAGGAGGAGGCGGAGGAGGACGAGGGGAGGAGGTGGAAGGAGGAGGAGGAGGAGGGGGGTAGGCGGAGGAGGAGGAGGAGGGAGAAGGAGGCCGAGGAGGAGGAGGAGAGAGAGGAGGGAGGAGGAGGAGGAGGAGGAGGGGAGAAGGAGGAGGAGGTGAGAGGAGGAGGTAGGGGGGAGGCGGAGGGGAGGAGGAGGAGGAGGAGGAGGAGGAGGAGGAGGAGGAGGTGGGAGGTATGGGGGGGTGGGGAGGAGGTGGAGGAGGAGGAGGAGGTGGAGGAGGAGGAGGCGGAGGCAGGCGGGGTGAGGATGGGGGGGGAGGAGGAGGAAGGAGGAGGAGGAGGAGGGGGAGGATGGGGGGGGGAGGAGGAGGAGGAGGAGGGGGAGGAGGGGGAGGAGGGGGAGGAGGAGGAGGAGTCGATCACCGATCTGGTTGATCGATTCGATGCTGGGCTCTCTCCTGCCTGCGCGCGCGCACCGCGGGCCTCGTGCCGCCGCGGGCGCCGACGGGTATTGGGGTGCCGGCCTGGCGGGCGGGCGGGCCGAATGTTGCTTTGCATCCTCGAGGGACCTCTCTTGCCCTGTTACAACGGCAGACTTCACTTGCACTCGGACATGGGTTCGGGGCGGGCACGGTGTGGATTCGACATGGACTCGCTGCCGGCGGCATGGGCTCGCCATGGATGCGACACAGAGAGTTTGCGCGATGGGAAGGACGAGGTGCCCCGCGGATGCAGCACGGGGAGCGACATGCACGAGTTTGGGCTGCGCCCGTCCGAAAGCCCCTCGAGTGCCACGGGGATGCGCATGGAGGAGGCAGCCTCGCCAGCACGGCCTGCGCCCCAGCGCCTGCGAGGGGGAGGCACGGGTGGCACGGGGAAGGTTGGGCCCAGAAGGGGGAAGAGAGGAGCATGGGAAGGCACGGCGAGGAGGCGGAGGAGCGAGGAGGGAGGGCTGGTTGGTGCGCGGCGCTGGCTGGTTGCTGGGCGGTCTTGCCCGGCGCTACAGTCGCCAGCGGCGGTGTTTCGGGACCAGCATCCGGCGCTGAGGGTTTGCGCCGGCACGCGACCAATGTGCGCGCGGATTGCGGCCTTCCCGCCGGAGGAGGAGGAGGAGGAGGAGGAGGAGGAGGAGGAGGAGGAGGCAGGGGATCAGGAGGAGGAGGCGGAGGAGGCGCGGAGGAGGAGCCGACAGGAGGAGCGGAGAAGAGGGGGATAGGAGGAAGGAGGAGGCGGAGGATGGAGGAGGAGGAGGAGGAGGAGGAGGAGGAGGAGGAGGCAGAGGAGGCAGAGGAGGCGGAGGGTATGGGTATGGGTATGGGGTTGGGCGGACAAAAGTCCACCTGCCGACGCTGCGGCTCGCAAGCGGGAGTGGCGACGAGGAGCCCGAGGGCCACACCAGACAGGTGCACCCCAGCAACGGACCTCCCAGGAGGGGAGAACCGTGGCCAAGGCCCCACCACCCCCGCGGGGACGGAGACCCACGGGCAACCGAACGCAGCCCCCAGGGCCGCACCCAGGACCCCGCGGCCCAAACGAAGCAGCCCCCAGGCCGCCTCCAGAACGAAGCAGCCCCCAGGCCGCCCCCAGAAAGACGCCAGCGCCCCGAGCCGAGTCTAGCAACTACACATAGCTACCGCCCACTCAGCCCTTGAACCTCTGGCGCCGCCGCTCACGGCTCGCCCACCTGGCCCAGGGAGAGTTGGGGCGGAAGCTGGAGCGCAGCCACTGGCGGCCCTCCGCAACCTCGGCGGCCGAGGGCAGAGGAGGGGCAAGCTCCTCACCGTCGGCTTGCCATCCAGGCCGCCACAGGTCACGGTCGGCCGTGAGCGGAGCGATGTCGTCGCTCCCGGCCTTCACGATGTACTTGGTCGTCGCGATCCCGTCGGACCCCTTCCTCGGCCACGAGTGCACCTCGAAGGAGCCCTCAACGACCAGCTCCTCGAACTGCTGCACCTCCTCGGAGCGGGCGGGCACCGCAACGCCCTCCAGCTCGTCATGTTCGAGCCGCCACTGGGCACGACGGCATGCCGCCGCGGCGGCCGCCCTCGCGTGCGCCAGCTGGTTGGCCTCCACCGTGGCCTCCCAGCTCCGCCGCACACCCGCGCTCGGCACCTCGCCCTGCACGGCCACATCCACCAGGGCCACGTGCATGGCCATCTCCTGCACGACCACCGCCTGGACCGCGAACTCGTTCCGCGGCATGTGGTCGTCCTCCAGCTTGACCGTCTCCTCGGGAAGGTGGGCCTCCCCAGCAGCATGGTCCAGCTTGTCCTCCAGCTTGATCGTCTCCCTGGGAAGGTCCTCGTCTTTGATGTCGACCCCGCTCACGAACTCCAGCATGTCCCTGCTCGCGCTGCCCACCGCGAGCTGCCCCATCTTGGTGTGCAGCACCGTCGGCACCTCCGCCGCCGTCTCGGCCCACTCGGAGTCCGCCCCGAGGCCCGCGCCGCCAGCGCCGACCCCGCTTCCGAACTCCAGCTTGAGCACCTCCACCTCGTCGCTGGGGCCCGCGGCGCTCGGCACCTCGGCGGTGCCCTCGATCGCCTCGCAGCCCACGCAGCTCTGCAGCGTCGTCACCTCCAGCGCCGGGAAGGTGGGGACGGGAGGAAGCTCGCCGCAGTCCTGCAACCACTTCTCGTCCGTGCCCTCGCCGCACTCCTGGATGGTCGGGAGGTCCCCAAGGAAGGCCTCGACCGCTGGGCCTGGCCCAGCGCCTCCTCCCAAGACCTCGCACTCGCCCTCCGCTGCCCCAGCGAAGAACCCGGCAACCATCGCGTCCGCGACGTTGTACGGGTACACCTCGAGCTCCACATGCCCGCGGCGGGCGACGAGGAGTGGCTGGCCGAAGGCCACCTTAGGAAGAGACAGGAAACGTGGAGGCGGAGGTTCAAGAGGGAAAAACACACAGACACAATTAATCGTCGACTCCCCAGAAAATATAGGAAAATATGGGAAGTGGGGGGGAAGACAGAAGCCCAGAAAATATTTGAAACTATTTTTTTTGTTATATTTGTATGTATTTATTTGTGTGTGTCCCAGGGCCCCTTCAGAGGTGGTCGTCCTCCCCGCCGCGTCGCCGGCTGCAGGCGAGCAGCTGTTCGCCGAGCTGCTCGCCATGGACAGAGACGTGGACAAAGAGGCCCCCCGGGTCCCGCTCGTCTTACTCCTTCGGTTGCGCTGTCGAGGGGCCAGCCGATTGTCTGGAGAAACAGGGGGAGCAACACATTCCTCCCATGATGCTGTTTCTGTTTCCTCCCCCTCCCCCCTCTGCCGCCGCATCCCTCGTGCTCGTCTTGTCCCTCGCCCGTCTCGCCCCAGCACCCTCGTCTTCCGCCCCCTCCAACCTGCTCTCTCCCTACCCTCTTCGTTTCCAGGGGAAGCGGCGTACGGGGAAGATCGGTCGATGATAGGGGCAGCAGGAGGAGTAGATCAGGGGGGGAAAGGAGGGCGGTAGCATGGGTCAAGTTGACCAGGCCAAACGAGTCAGCGGACTCCTCCCATTCCCAGCCTTGCATGGGAGGCAATGGCGGCACAACGTAACCTGGGGACCGGAATGCGAAAGCGCTCGTCTCGTTTCCGACGGCGTGGCAAAGGACAGCAGACGTTGGGGCGGGCGCGGGCGGAACTCCAGGACTTCTCTCGCGGTGTCTTGGCGAGGGCGCCATGACCTTTTCCGCGAGTGGCCACGCTCCCTGAGAGCGCGGCGAGACGGAGCACGCACCGCGCCGAGGCAGCACCTCCGCTTTCACGCACGGGCTGCGCGGCGCCTGGGCGAAGACGGCGCGTCGCCCGCTCGCGCTCGGCCCCGCAGCCGCCGCCCCTCCTCCCCTGCGCCTCGGCGAGCGCAGGTGCGCCGCCCCCGCGCCTGAGCGCCACTTTCGGGTGCATGTCCTGGGAGGTCCAGTGCTGATGTTGCCCGCGTCCGAAGTCCGGCTTCCTCCCGCTCAATCCCGCTTAATCAGAGCCCCGAATCATCAGGGGTAACTCGGGTCAGGGCTAACTCGGGTTTCTTTTTTTGGGAATCCAAACCCGAGTTACCCCGGACCCGAGTTACCCCAGATAACTCGGGCGCCAAACTTGAGCCCGCGTAATCCGGCTTTCAGCCACTCCGTCGACGCCCACGTTAGCGCAGCAGCCCCGCCATGGCAGGCCAGCCACAACTGGGGGAGCTGTGTTCCTTACCCCCCTGGGGGGCCCATCGATTTTGACTCCCCTCTCGAGAGATCGTCGATGCGATGGGTTCCCGCAGGGGGGTAAGGACCACAGCTCCCCCAGTTATTATGGCTGGTCGCCATGGGGCTCAATCTTCCTTAACCTTTCCGACGAAGACCTCCCAGCAGCGGCTTCCTGAGCCACTCCTCGGCGAGCTCTGCACGGAGCGTGGGCTGGTCGGCATGGGGCTCAATCTCCTCCTCCTCCTCCTCCTCCTCCTCCTCCTCCTCCTCCTCCCATCCTCCTCTCCTCCTCCTCCTCCTCCTCCTCCTCCTCCTCTCATCATATCATCATCATCATCATCATCATTATCATCATCATCATCATCATCATCATCATCATCCATATCATCATCATCATCATCATATCATCAGTATCATTCATCCTCATCCTCATCCCTGCTCCTCCTCCCCGCCATGGGGCTCCATCTTCCTTAACCTTTCCGGCGAAGGCCTCCCCGCAGCGGCCTCCTGAGCCGCTCCTCGGCGAGAGCTCTGCCCGGAGCGTGGGCGCCGGCAGCGCGTCGCCCGCCCGCTCGCAGATCCCCGCCCCCAGGCGAGTCGGCGAGTCGAGCCTGCGCGCTGTGCGAATCGGGGGCGGAAAAGCCTCCTCCTCCTCTCTCCTCCTCCTCCTCCTCCTCCTCCTTCCTCCAACTCCCCTCCTCCTCCCCCTCCCCTTCCCCCTCTTCCTCCCTTCCTCCTCCCTCCTCCCCCTCCTCCTCCTACCTCCTCCTCCTCCTTCTCCTCTCCTCCTCCTCCTCCTCCTCCTCCTCCTCCTCCTCCTCCTCCTCCTCCTCCTCGCCCCCCCCTGCTTGGATAGCAGGGGCCCCGTCATCGACTCGGGGATAGCCGGGGCACCCCCGCCAGCGGAGCTGGTGGGCGGTCGGCGCCGCCTGGATCGGCGGGGTAGAAGTGGAGCCGGCGACCAGCCGGAGGACTGGCGGAGGCGGGAGGGGTCGCCCCCCCGGGGGAGGAGGGTAGGCCGCGGTGGGACTGTGCCCCTTCCTTCCTCCTTTCTCCTGCCTCCTCCCTCCTCCTCCCTCTCCCTTTCCTCTTCTCTCCTCCCCCCGGGGTTCGCAGTGTCGCTGCGGTCCACTCCCCCGCTGGGGCTGGGCCGGAGGAGACCGCGGCGGCGCGCGGAGCGCGCTGCCGCGGCGGGTGAGCGCGGAGCGCCCACGCCGTGCTGGAGCGCGGCCAGTGCTCGGCGCCAGAATCGCAGTGGTTGATTTTTCAGCTGCGAAGTTTTGGGGGCCCTCTCGCCCAGGAAAAGCCTGGAATAGGGGTGGCTTCATTATCGACGGCTGTGCTCTCGTGCTCATGGCACAGTTGAACGGCAAGCAGAATCCAAGCAGAGTCCTCCTCCTCCTCCTCCTCCTCCTCCTCCTCCTCCTCCTCCTCCTCCTCCTGAGAGGGGTGATGACTAGGGGAGGTGGATATCATGGCGGGGGCCATGATATTTCCCCAGATTTCATGGCGCCCCTTCTCACTTCGTCACGTAAATGGCCCCCCCGCTGGGCCGCGCACGTGCCGCCGGTCATGATTTGCCCCCCCCCTCTTGGACGCTCCCCTCTTGGCCGCTCCCGAGCTAAGGTTGTGGAGGACGATTCATTGAGAGGAAGCATGCTGCCAAATAATTCTTCAGATGTCTGAACAATGCTTCATACATGTTTTGAGTGCGTTGTGCAACATCAGAATCGACAGAGCTTTAGAACATGGTTTACACAGTTTTTAACACATCGTTAACTCAACGATCGGATTGTTAGAGTGTCCGTTGTCGTGGCATCCACAATGCCGAGGCGTGGTCGCGCATTCCAGGCGAAATCTGCGCAGCGCGGGGCGCACGGAGCCGAGGGCGACATTTTGGCTTTAAGTCGGGCCTGTCCTTGCACGGGAGGTAAATGCACGAATAATCAAAAAAATAGTCCGGGGAGGATTTTTTTGGCCATTTTACAATATTGTAGGGCATTGTTTTACTATGTTGCATTTTTCGTTCAAGATCCCCCTGTGGGGGGACAGGCCCGACTCAATCTTAGACGGGTCGCGCGCCGGGAAAAAATGACTTGGCAACGAGGCACAAGAGCGCACGCCGCCTCGCATTGTGCAAGGTCGATTGCAAGGCGTCCACGTTCAGGAGGAAAGAACGCACACAGACACAATGCATCGCCGATTCCCAGGAAAGTATAGGAAAATATGGGAAGTGCGGGGGAAGACGAAACTCACAACAACATATGGGAACATATGGGGAATCCTGCGATTTGTGTGTATTTTTTTGCGTGCCCCTGGGCCCTTTGAGCGTTCCCCTTCTGCGCGGGAGGTGCGCCCCGCTCCCCTCCTGCGCCGCACTTTTTGCAAAGAGTCGCCTACAAGCCGGCCGCGTGGAACAGAACGGCGTTGCGTTTGCAATGCTCTGTGTTTATTGTTCCAAACGACGCGAAGATCGGGAAAAAATCGGATCGGGATAACTCGAAATCTCTGAGAATCGGCGGGTTTGGAGGATGTATTGGGCGCCGCGGCCGTTCCAGAGCGTTCCGGAACGCTCTGAGAGCGCTCCGGCACGCTCTGGAGCGATTTATCCCGATCCTAGCCGTGTTTTAGGAAATGATGTGGCGCCCCGAATAAGGTGGTTATTTGCCGACATGTTGGCCTAGCAGGGGTATTTACGAATACGGAGAAGGATATTACACGGGTAGGATGACGAGGACAGGGCAGCAGGGAGAGGTTACGTTGGAGGAGCGAGAGAGGCTGACGGAGGAGGTGCCCAGGTTTCTGTTCGCAGTGTTCGTTGAACCGGGCCCTCTCTTCAGGGCTAAACCCGCAAGCCCGAGAGGTCGCCCGCAGGGCCCCCCGAAGCTAGTCGCGTTTTGCTAGCCGCGGCCCTTCTTTTCCGGTGGGGGAGGGGGGCGACGCGACGGCGCAAAGGTAACCGCGTGTCGCGCATCGCGGTGCGCGATGCGCGCAGTTGGGCGGCTTGGTTATACCGGTCAGGAGCAATCGACGGAGGGGAGCAGTCAAGACGCTGGAATGAATGCCCCTTTGAGCACAGGAGGGCTCAAGTTTTCGGCCCGGTCCTCAGATGTATGTAGTGGGTTCTGTTTGTGGCCTAGGCTTGCCATGGCCAGAAAAACCACATTCATTCTTTGTGGGGGGCCTTTCCTGTCGGACAGCATGACAAGAACCACCGAACATTGTGCTCGGGTGCCCTAGGTTTCTTTTGCATGCGTTCGGCGCTTAAGGCTGT